GTAATGTAAAATGTACCTGCTGAAGTATTTTTAAAGTAACTGCTTACATTCTGAATATATATATATATATAAACTGCATGCATTCTAATTCTTGGTTGTACTCTGTAGTCTGTCATAAGGAAAAATGATCTTTTGCACAAGTTACTATTTTCTTTGTTATGTATAGAAAAGAAATTAAAGTTTTGATCCTTTATTAGGAAAAATGAAAAGTATATGTAACGTAGAATAATATTCAGGGTTAGGCATCTCCACAGTCATTTTGGCTGGAGACAAGCAAATATCAGGCAAAATCATGTGCAGCACACGTGATTTTTGACACAGAAGTACTATTAATTTATTTTTTTATTTTAAATTATATAATGTAAGATTTCTATACTTCACTTATATGTTATGTAATTAAAACTCGTAATTTTTTATTTTTGAAAAAAGAAATTATCATTTGGGTTATTCTTCCTACTACTTATTGTATTTTCGATTTACTTAATATTTAGAGTTTTTGTAAACAAATTTGAGTGGTAGACAGAAATTCTGGATTCAGAGAAGCACAATATATTTCAGTGTGAAACATTTAAGTGGAAAAAATTAGGTGGTAAGTAAGAAGAAAGGTGACATATTTTGCCTGTTATATATCTTTGTTTTCTGAACATTTGGTCCTTAATTTTTCTGGCTTGCATTATTGTTTTTCAGGTGGACTGAGTAAGGGCTTCTTTTGCTTCCTAGTAGTGGTCGGCAGACATTTATTAATATGTCATTTTCGAATGAGTTTGCAAAAAGAAAAGGTTATAGCCCATTTTTGAAAACAAATGCACATTTCTTTTGCCTCTTCGTATGTCATTTTTCCTGTTCATGGTTCAATTTCATTGACATTTATTCCATCAATATTACCTCAGCAGCAAAGTGAAAGCTACACCCAATTCTAGAAGCTTCCAGCTGTTCAATGCACAGCGAAGAAACTAGAAGATAAGATGAAACCGAGATTCCCTACCAGTCAGGCAAGTAGTAGAGGAATCCGAAGATAAACATCTTGCTTATAGCAGAATCAGTCAAGACAGTTAAATTTTGAGTGAGTGATGATTTTATTTTTGTGAGGTATTCCTCACTGCCCCTTCTTTGCGGTAGATGTAGATGATATGTCTCATTTGAAGTTTGGAGCAAGATGTTTATCTTTGTTAAGGTAGTCGGTGTAGAACAGTGACTGGTGTCAATGATGTTTCAAGCTCTCCACTGGGGGCTACACCGGTCAAGATGTTTCGTTGCATGGAAATGATGAATGAAAGGAAAAAATTAATCATTATGTTGTAGAAAAGAGCACAAACAATTTCAAGAATGATGGTGGAAATGTGGTTTGATGTAACATGAAGAAATTCCTTTTCTGCTTCTGAGGATTTGGCTGAGACACGTTGAAATGATCTCTTGATCCTTGATTGTCAAACTGTGACAAGATTAGTAGTTTGAAAGTTCGGGAACCCTTAAATGTCCTTGTTTTCAATGATTTTGGTAGAATAAATGGAAAACCAGGTTTTTGAAATTGACTGCAACTGAATTTTTTTGGGTAAATCATGGTTGCAACTGATAGAAGTTTTGTGATTTTGCTTGAATATCTATAAATTCCAAAATAAATGTCCATCTTTTTTTGTATGTAAAGATTAGGGTTTAAATCTAAACTATTGACTAAAAGTACATGTTACTTTATCATAAAATTATATTGTTGATAGTCCAAAATAAATGTTTATTAAGATTGCCAACTATAGTGTTCATTGAATTTTATGACAATCAATCAAAGTATGCAATTTTGTGGACGAGAGTGATGGCCAACAAACTTTTCAAGTTAAAGCTCACCAAACAATGAACTTTCAAGTTCTGCCTTTGTTTTCGACATTTTAGTTGTCACCAAACTGAACCAAGGGTTGGTTGTTAGAGGAGTAAATTTCATTCTTAAATCTAGTGGTTTTGACTTCTCTCCTTATCCCATCCATACTCTAAAAGGTTTCAATTCCACCAATAAACATCTGTGCTTCTTCCTCGTTTTTTGGGTACATGAGGGAGTTAGTGTGCTTAACCATGGGGCTAAATTTAACAATTTATCTACTAGCTATAATCGTTTATCACTTTAGTCCAAAAAGTTTATTTTCTACCAATGTAGTCCACTAACTTTCCCGTGCCACCAGATGGTCTTAAATGCAGGCACCATCTGGAAAGGGGTGGGGGAACTCCCACATTTATTATCATTCGGTGGAAAAGTATAATTTACTCCAATTAGAGCATGGAAGCTACTCCATGTATGGAATTACTTCTTTTCTTTTACTTTTCTCATTGATAAAACGAAAGGAATTGAGTTGTTTGGCTGGCCGGTGAACTTTATTAAAATTTTGAATTAAGGAATTGGTATCTGCTTTAGCTGAGGGAAAAATAGAAACTCAAGTCATTCATCCATGTCCCTGTAACTCATGACAGAAGGCACTTCCAAACAAAACCACAAATGTACAAATACATTCCACAAATCTCAAGACAGCCTATATCCATTTGGTTACTCATCAATAGCACATTGATAGTTGATTGCTGATAGCGAGTATCCAAAGTACATGATACAACAAGAGATCTACAACACAAAAATTTCTGCTACGACAGCATAGTTCATGTACAGACTTTCTTTTTGTAAACTTCCTTGCAATTAAATTACCAGCTAGCATCAACTCCTGACAGGCTTCCTTGCCAATCCATTTGCCAACAGGTAATCAAAACCCTAGCTTGAATTGTGCTTACTGTATTTCCTACTTGAGTAGAATGACAATAACTCCAACACTCCTCTTTCGTGGTGCATCAAACCTTCCCGGATTTAGGGGGCTGAAAACAAATAGAAATCAGAGGAACAGAATAGGAAAAGCCTTGTTCTCCAGTACTACTATTGATGATTACACACCTTTTTCAAGGGCAACTTGTTAGAATTGCTTGACGATGCTTTAGTGTCAGCTGGTTTCAATATCTCAAAGGAGCAAACTAGAGCATCGTCAACACTCAATAAAGCACCAGCATTGTCAAATTCACCACCATAGTTTGGAGCCGAAAATATTGTGACTAATCTTCGGTTAGCAAAGAACTCATAGCCATCCTCCACAACCTGCAATTTGTAACTTGAAAAAATCTCAATCTAGACATGGTGGGATGAAGATTCATCATGTTCTAACAATGACTACGGGTGTCTGCTGCCAACCATCATGCAAAGAAATATCTGGACAACTATTTGGTAGGCTGGGAAGGTTAAGGCCAGCATAATGCCTCCTAAGACATCTAAAATTTTTGCTTGGCACAGTACGTTTAACATTTACATTTCACTGTAATAAAGTAATATCAGCTTAAACAAAAACACCACTCCAATCGAAACAACAGAAAGAAAAAAGCACGGAACATTCTTCATGTCAACTGAGACTGGGATTCAGAAAGGGGCATTTTTAAACACTACCTTTGGAAAGGAGTAAGCTTCATGGTTCGGACTTGGAATCATATACTAGAAATAGAAGGGAAAGAAATAAAAGGTGACAGTGCTGTAGGATATTGGCCTACCTGATGACCACGGCAAATGAGGTCAAGGTCATTCTTGTCCAAAAATTCATGAACTACATCAGCTCCAAAAGTACATGAAACTCCTCGATCACTAGCTCCCCAACCCTCAATCTTGGGATCAGGATCGGACCAAAGCAGGTCACAGAGAAGACCGCTATCTGGAATTTCAGTTGGCCTCTGAATTTCCCTTATTTGATCCAAATTTTCCAACTCTTTGGATAGCCCCCCATGCATGCAGAGTATCTTCTCATCAATGAGTGCTGCCACAGGCAAACAATTGAAGCAGTCTGTAAATATCTTCCAAAGCCTAACATTGAATCTCCTTTTACACTCATCATAAAATCCATAAATTCGATTGATCTTTGCATCTTCATGGTTTCCTCTCAATAGGCAAATCCGGTCAGGATATCTTATTTTATAGGCCAAAAGCAAACATATCGTCTCCAAACTTTGCTTCCCTCGATCTACATAATCCCCGAGGAACAGATAGTTTGCAGCAGGAGGGTACCCACCATTCTCAAATAACTTCAGAAGGTCTTGGTACTGTCCATGTATATCTCCTGCAAAAGGCCAACAATATTAGAAAAACCAGAAGTAGGAGAAACATAAAGGGCGTAAATTGACATCAAATGCACAGATTTTTAAGATAACAGGCATAACTATTCTTTAGCAACAAAAGAACAACTAATGAATGAATATGCCAGATGCATCGGAATAAGCCATATACCCAATTCATCCTATGAACTTGATATACCCAGATAGCAACCCCTCTTCAATTTCCCATCAATCATACCAATTTACAATAAAAAAAACAGAAGTCTACATTCCGAAGTTTCCTTCCAATTTCAAAAACTGAACCCATTAAAACTCATCTCAGGTAAATCATCCATGGATTAACCATTCACGAGCATAACTACAAATAAGAAAGAAAGAATAGGAGCATATACCACAGATGCGTATGGGAGCACGAACATGGACAAGATTGGGCTGTGAGAGGAAGATTTGACGAGCATTTATACAAAGCTGACGGATCTCTCCCTCAGAAAGCTGCACCTGCTTGCCTCCTCTACCCTCCAATAACCTCCTTATTATGTCATCTAATACACCCTTATCCATCATTCCCGCCATTGTCATCATCATCATCTTGTCCGGATCAAACAAAAGAAGAAGACTCTTCAACTATTTGAAAAGGAAAACAAGATTCAACAAGAGGGTTTTAAAAATTTGGAAAGAAAAAAGGGGGGTTGGATTGAATTGGAAGAGAAGAATCATAAAGAAACAAACTTTTCAGGTGGAGATAGAAAAGGGCCAAGGGGTGTTGGTGAAACGGGGTTAAAATGATGAATCAGAAACCCAAATTTAGGGATTCAGGTCAACACAGAGAACACACACGATTTTTAAAGGAAAAAGTAGAGCAATTTTTACCATGAGAACTGTTTTCTTGTAATCTTGACTGCACAAAAAATAGAGTTCACCTTAGGACAGAAGGTTTCTTGTTTTACCGTTTCTATCAGCTGCTTCTGGAGTCGTTCTTGAACGAATCTATTTGTATCAAAAGATAGAGCTTGCAAAACAGATATCTTTAAATATTGAACTCTCCCAACCTCGGGAGCAGGTGGGTTGTTATCCATATTAAATATCATATTTTTTAATTATTTAATTATTATTTTTTATATTATATTTTTATTTAAAATTTTATATTTTATATTTTTTAATAAATTAACAAATCTGATAATTATTTAAGATAAAAATGTATGATATTAATAATTGAAGATAAAATAATAAATAAGAAAAATAAAAATAAAAACACATTTTAAATGTTAAAATTAATTGAAAAATTATTTAAATACCCTTAATAAAAGTTTTTTTTATAATATTAAGAGAGGGTATTTAAATTTTATTATTATTATTACTTATATTTTTATCAAAATATCTTGATTTTCTTTATTTTATTGATAAATTTTATTAAAGAAATAAGGAAAATAAAATTATTCTTGACAATTTAAACAACAAAAATGATAATAAAGGTGTTAAAATATTTTTAATAAATCAACACAAAAAAATTTATTAAGAATATTTAAATAATTTTATAAAAAACCTTAATATTTAAAGCATCATGATATTTTAATTTTTACTTTTCACTTTTATTAAATAAGAATATTTAAATACATAAAAGAATGAAATTCATGTCATCCTTGACATTTTAATTATTTGGATTAATTATAAAATTATTCAAATACTATTTTTAATAAATATTTATTATATATTAATTTATTAAAAATATTAAAATTTTTTATTATTTCTAACATTTAAATTAACAAGAAAATTTTTAAATTTTTTACAATTCCTAAATGCATTTACCACTAAACAACATGTAGTCCGGACTAAAAAGAAATTTTCAATTTTACTATTGAATTGGATTGAGCTTAATGGAGCAAGGAAAGATGCGGTTATGGACCCAAATATTAAATGGTTTTTTTTTTTTTTTATCTTAATGGTACAATTAAAACAATTATTTTTTATCTTTTATTTTACTCTACTTATATATCATACGAGTTTAATTCAAAATTTTTTATTTTTAATAAAAAAATAATTATTAAATTATTTACGCCATTAACAATATCAAATGATCTTAAAAGACTGAAATCATGGAAGGATAAATCATAAACGGTTGTGGTTGAAACCTTCAAAGGCAAGGCAATTTGGTGCCAAACGACGCGGGGACAGAGGGCGGCGCACGCTAATAGAAGGGGGAAGGCCATTAGCTTGCCATTATTGACAGTCATGCTTCGCGCCTTTCCTCTTCTGTTACGAATACCGCGTCTTTTGAAGGATACTATTAAAATATAGTTATGTACTTTTATTAATGCGTCAATATAAAATAAAGAAATAAAAATTGAAAGGGTTTTTTATTTATATAAAATTTATGTAATTTTTGTTAATAATTTAAATAATTTAGTGATTATCTTTTTTCGTTGAAAATAAGAGATACTGAATTTGAGTCGTTTGACATGCGAATGAAATGGAATAGGAGATGATAAATGATTGTCTCTTATTGTGCAATCAAAATAATATAATAATAATAATAATGTAACTTTTAAATATTAAAAGTTAATATAAAAAAAAACATCAGCATAATTTCAATTTTAAATAGAGAAAAGAAGGGAAATTCTTTTCAGATTCTCTTTTATTTATTTTTTTAATGTTCTCTTTTTAAGTATTCACATTATACCAAACCATAAGAGTAAAATATTTACAATTGAATTGGAGAGGAAAAATCTCAATATTAAAGGCTTGTCTCCGCTAATAGTTTAAGTTATATAATTTGAACAATACTATTTACTTCTCTATTTTATTTGAGGAATAATTATTTTTTGGAAAACATTAATATTTGTACTTCATTTTCTCAAAATTTTTATAAATTAATTGGATTGTGCGACCAAAAAAACTATTTATTTTTTCTATTTTAACATGCTTAGTTTAAATTATTCCACCTTATTGTCAAAATTTTCTCTTTATCTTTATATTTAAAAAAAAAAAAACATAAATAATCTTAAATTCTTAATTAGGGGAAAAAGGATAATGATTTTAGGACTAAATGAGTAACAGATGGCAATAAATCATTAGGATCATATTTTTTTTATGGCCAAATTATATAAGTAAGGTAAATTACAATGAGACCATGAGGAGTGAGGAATAACTATCACTCTCATCTTCCCCTTGCTTAAGTTCTAAACTGCTAGTTCCATCATACATGAATTGCCCATATGTGAAGATAAGTCATTTAGTCAGTGAACCAAGTTTTCTTCCTTTGCCCATAAGGCAATTAGAAGAGGAAATGCACAAGAAGAGAAGCTGTAGAAACAAGGTTTTTCCTGTCAAAACCATTATGGAATCTGATACACATTTTCAAACCAATCTGTTGTTCTCCAATATCAACTCCAAAACAGGTTATTCTAAGCTCATATCAAAAGAAGACTTCAAATAGTGAAACATTTCTCTAAATCTACATGTCGACAGATGTATCATGTGATTGTGAATCATCGCTTGTATTAAGAAAACCTTGCATGTAATGAATCTAACTAGTCTCAGGATGTATCAATGATATAATCATAGAGGATTAGTGGCAACAGTGTCACCCAAAACCAAAAGCAGACAAATAATATAACTCATCTCATATCAATCAAACTGATTGACCTTGATCCTCAAACGTAACTAAGGTTAATCAATCCTATGAGGCATATGCCTCCCAAGCTGCAAAAGCCAAATACTCAATCTTACTTTAAAGTTCAGTCACATGTGATACCTTCTTTAGTTGGTTCTCAGTTCTTTTTAAGGGTATAACAGAATATGTAATCGATAAGTAACAAGAGATCTTATAGCATCGACGCTGGTACAGTGGCATAAATGAATAAAGGAACTTACTGAATTTCCTATTGGTATATCAAAACAAAAATGCACATAGAAATTTTTAGCAATCTGCAGGAGTGCAGCTTAATCTGTTTCAAAAGTTATTATCTCATCCAACATTGAAGACAGAAAATCTGTTATCCCTCCTTATGCTGTGTAGATTATTCATCATAACTTAAATTCTAGACTAATCCTTCTTTATTGGTAACAAAGTATGCATTTTCTTCAGTCTTGAATCTTCATGCTTATCCTTAACTAAATTACAATCTTAACAACTTTAGCCAAATATTTGGATTGATAAAGGATGCTATTAACAGGAACCCCAAATACAAATCAATTTATGAAGCAGAACCAATCTTTCCTGTAATCCCCTGCTGGATTTTGATTTATACACATCAATGAATTCTAGAAATATCCTTTGTTAAATGGTTCCATCTTCCATTCCAATTTTATTGTCCCAAATTTTCTTGGCAACCAAACAAGCAGTACTAAGGGAAAAGGAAAGAGTCTAATCACATAAGAATTAGATGAGCTCACATTCCCGCAGATCAATACCAACAATTTTCAGGAACAGATTCAAGATTCAATCAAATTTTAGTTTATCTACTAAGAATTCGAAGAAAAATATTCAGAGACAATTTTGTTTAATCCACAATTAGCAAGAATCCAGAATTCATGATTCAAATACAACAGTAATCTTAGCCAAACATCTTCTAAAAAGAGGAAATAAATGGGTTTGTTCTAATCCCCCTTACTTGCTCATTGTTGCAGTTCAACCCACACCCACATTGAGGACACTCTTCAAAGTTGTCAATGGGAAAATCCGCACCCGCAATCCCCACTGAAAATTCAAGACTGTCCCCTCTCCTTAAGACCTCCACGATGTCGACCCACACGAAGAACAGCTTCACACTAACACCCTCCAACTTCGAAATCTTTCCCTCAGAGATATACCCTTTAATGGCGGACTTGTACTTCAACTGGTACGACCCCTCAAGAGAGAAACTGCAACTCCCGCTAAAGAAAGCAGAGAACTTTCCCGACGAAGATTCGAGATCGTAATCGAGAACCCCTTTCGGGAGGATACCCATGGGGAAGTTGTAGTCGCCGAGAACTTCATAGGCTGATCGTTTGGTGAAAAGAGGGTTGATTTCTTCATCTGATCCAAGAGATTGTGCGATGAAGAAGAAAATACAGAGAATTTTTAGTAAGAGTTTCGATCTCTCTGTCAAAATGATACCCATTTTTCTTTGTTTCTCGGAAAATTTTTGTGGGTTTATGTTGTTTCTGTCTTTTTACTCTGTTGAGGCGACCATTTGGAGAAGGAATGTTAGTTGGAGGCTACCAGGAAGGAGGCTGTTCTGCCTGTTATTTAATTTTTCATTACACTATGTTTTTTTGCAGTACCGATTATAGAGGACTGCACAAAATAAACCATGAAATCAGTTGGCTGCTGATATATAGCCATGGGTACTCTCCCATGTGATATTCTTAATTTTATAATTTAATACAATTTAGTCTTTTTATTATCTTTTTAAGACAAAAGGAGTTCTTGCCCGTCTGATGAGGAAGGCTGGATTAGGGAATAACCCCCCAAGAATATTGGATTAGGAGATAACTTAATATTGGAAGATGTAATGGCTAGGAGTATCCTTGAACTCCATTTTATATTTACTATATAAAGGGATTAAGGAAAATTGAAATATTTTGATAATTAAAATATTAAAAAATAAGAATAAATTAAAATATCAATTTTTTTTGGATACATCTGATTATGGACCATATAAAAGAAGATAACCCTCTCATATTTTCAAATCCCTCTCATATTTC